GAAAGCTTCTTTTGGAGTACTATCAATGACTGCAAACTTATAATTGAGAATGAGAAATATTGAAGGTTTCTGTGGCAAACTACCGCCTCCCCCCAATAAACAGTCTAGACAGGAAGCCATTGAAATGAGTCCTTAAAAGATGTGATAAAAATGATGAAATGTAGCTCTTCACAATTGATGGCTTGTGGTGATGGTGGTGGTGGTGGTGGTGGTGGTGGTGGTGGTGGTGTGTGGGGCTTAGTTATCTTTAAGTGGCTGGCCATTGGGAGTTTGGTTGTGCTCCAATGAGTATATAGGCAACGCAAATTGGACTTGGTGTTTTGTTTTTCTTTTTCTTTTTTTGGTCAAGGGCACAAGAGAGGAATGGGGAGCAAATGCATTGAGGGTACATTATATAAAATACCCAAATAATCAATAAAAATATTGGAGAAAAAGAAAAGAGAGCAGCAGCTGAACTATGGTGGTGCATGCTTTTAATTCCAGCACTCTAGAGGGAGAAGTAGGTGAATCCTTGTGAGTTTGAGGCCAGCCTGGCCAACAAAGCAAAAGAGAAGAGGAGTAAGAGTGTCATCAATGTGAAATCTTCTGGGAAGTGTTTCCTGAGAGTCAGTACACACAGTTTTGTTCCAGACATGCTGTGGCCAAGGCTGTATCTTGTGCTGGCAGCCAAACTTGGTAGTTACTTAGATGAAGCATCTAAGTTTTGAAGTTATGATGGTGTCATAAAGAGGAGCTGAGGCTTGCCACTCTGTGGCAGGGCTGGAGTCCTTGAAGAGAGCCTAGGAGAGGCTACTTGTGAAAGTACAGTCCAGTTGCAGCAAGGGGCCCCTGCCCTGCAGTTTTGGAGATGCCAGTACACTGGGATAACCATCAAGAATAGCATCAACAGTGGAGTGGAACCAGCCAAGGCCTCAAAGACAAATTGCGTGCTGCAGAGGATAGAGCTGGAGAAGTGACCCCTTGGAGGAGCCTAGTGGATTATGAATGACTCTCAGATCATTGACTATATCAGATCTACATTGTTAGAGTATAGTTTTGCTTAATTCAGATTGTGACTGTGTCCTGATTCTTCTCTCTTTAAGAAAGTATTTTTAACTTAATTTTGACCTTTTAACAGGAACCCACAATTGAAAAACTTTTAACTTTTAAAACTTTTTGTATGTTTAAAGAGATTGGATATTTTAAAAGGACTGAACTTTTAATGTGTTTCAATTTATAAGGACTGTGTGAATTTAAAGTTATGTTTCATAAATATTAACATTAATGTACCACCATTGGGATAAATAAGGAAGGAAAGGCTCTAATTGAAAAGTGATATGTTTGTGTGTCAAATTGGCAAGGGGTCAGTTGTATTTGCTAGTTTTATGTCAACTTGACAAAAACTAGAGTCATTAGAGAGGAGGGCGCTTCAAATGAGAAAATGCCTCCATAAGATCCAGCTGTAGGAAAGTCTGTAGAGCATTCCTAATTAGTGATTGATTGGGAGGGTCCAGTGTATTGTGGGTGAAGCCATCCCTGAGCTGGTGGTCCTGGGTTTTATAAGAAAGCAGGCTGAGCAAGCCATGAGGAGCAAGCCAGTAAGCAGCATACCTCCAGGCCCTCTGCATTGGCTCCTGCCTCCAGTTTCATACCCTGTTTGAGTTCCTTACTGATTTCCTTTAATGATGAACTATGATGTGAAAGCACAAGCTGAATTAGCCCTCTCTCCCCATCAAACAAAAATTAAAAATAAAGGACACAAAGTTGGAAACAGTACAGGACTTGGGGCGGATCTGGAAAAAAATTTGGTAGATATTATATTAAAAATACAAAGTACATGGTTACATTTTAGGAGAGATATTTTTTAACATAAATTATTTCTAATTGATAATATATAAATGTACAATAGTAGTATACAATAAGGTAAGTTTTTGTTTGTTTGTTTTGTTTTTCAAAGTGTTAGAAATAGCATGGTGACCTAAGCTGGCCTAAAATTTACAATTCTACTGTCTCAGCTTCCCAAGTGCTAGGATTACAGGTATGCACCCCTGCAGTGTGTCTGTTTTTATAGTCAATCAGCATTGCAGCCACATGCCTGCATTTTAATGAAGCAGAATCTCAGGTTGAGAGAAGAACAAAACACTTGAAGCATCATGTGATAACTCGATAAGATAGGATCTTTCTCATCCCTCTCAACTCTCTCTCTTCCCCCAAGCTTCTTGCTGAGGGTCCTTTGAAGGAACGATCTTTAAGACAAACATTAGCTGCCTCAGAAGTTCAATGATCTCTGTGGCACTGGAGAGACAGTTATTAGTGAGCATCTTGATCAGGTCTCTTTGTAATCTCCAGTGGTGAGACATACTTAAGGTAATACACTATAGGAAGTATCAAGTTATTCACATTATTATATCTAGGCAAATTTATAAGTGACTTGCTATGACAGTATCTTTCTGTAAACCTAAAGTTAATAAAAGAAGTAACTGCACAATTAATATCACTTATATGATGATCATGCATCTATGTGGCTGACAATGCATACTATAGCTTCACTGGTCCTTTATTAAATGCTACTTCTAAAGCTGCCTTGTCTATCTATGCTATAGAAAAGGCCCACTATTCCACTCAGGGACATGACAAACTAGACAGTCAGTGCATGCATATACAGATAGTTCTACTAAGACTTATCTCCTATAAGGCTTGAACTTCATAGCTGTTCTTTAGCCCAAGACACCTTCCCCTAAACCTTATCATGAAGTTGTCATGTCTTCAGTTTATACTACAGACTTTTACAAAATAGCTGTTTGGGATGGATCAGAGGGAATAACAGGCAGAACATTTTACTTTTACTTTTTTGAGGATACTTCCATTCCAGGGAGTTAGATGATAAATTGGAACATTTTACTTTTACTTTTTTGAGGATACTTCTGTTCCAGGGAGTTAGAGGATAAATTGGAACAAGTCATAAATTTATTAGAAATCCTTCAGAAAATAACAGTGTAAAGGGGAACTAGGGATAGGAAGTCAAAAAGGAGCACTAGGAAGCCTAACCTTATAGCAAAGGCTTGTGCTGAAAGACTAAAAATTAAGAGGTTAGTACCGTTAAAGAGAGGCCATCTGCTCTCTTTGGAACAATGGGAAGGGTACCATGAGGGCAGTATACCCCCCACCCCACCCCACACATACATCACAGTAAGTTTCCAATTCCTAAAAGAAAAAGCCCTAGGGCAGTGGTTCTCAGCCTTAAAGCTGCAACCCTTTATAAATTGTCCTCTCCAACTATAAAATTATTTTCATTGCTACTTCGTAACTGTAATTTTGTTACTATTATAAATATCTGTGTTTTCCCATTGTCTTAGGCGACTCCTCTAAAAGGGTCCTTCTGTCCCAAAAAGGTTGTGACCTACAAGTTTAGAACCACTGCCCTAGGGGTTTTGTTTTGATTTGTTTTGCTCCTGGAAAGCAGTTGTTCCAACTTAACAAAACTTGTAGCTATTGTAGTCAAAGGGAATGGAGAGTTCATTCTAAATTGGTAGTAGAATTAGTAGGAATATAGCAGTATAAGGCACACTGTGCTGGCTTTGGAAGTATGAAAGATACCAAAGTAAGGTCATTTTGGGTTCTTCTTCCATGACTACAGAGAACTGCTGAGGCCAGGCAATATGTAGTAATATTGGAGTTGCTGCAGGAAGTCCCTAAGAGGCCAGGATGCCCAGAGAGGCCATTGAGTGAAGTTGTGCAAGAAGCCTGGATTACAGTGGAGACACTGAGATGTTGGAGATGATGGAGCTGTAAGACCAGCCGTAGATAGATTGCAAGCAGCAAAACTAGAGGGCATGAGCCAAACTCCTTGAAACTAAAGTTTCTGTTAATGTACATGGAAATATAGGATGTGATTGTGTTTGCTTTGTGTTCTTCTCTGTTGGAAGGAATTGAAATGTATGTTCTATGCCATTGTATGTTAGAAGTGTGTAATTTGCCTTTCTATTTTACAAGGAGTCACAGTTAAGAAATTACCTTGAGTATTAAAGGAGACTTTGAACATTTTTATGCTTGTTTTCCAAGACAGGGTTTCTCTCTGTAGTTCTGGCTGCCCTGGAACTCTCTTTGTAGACCAGGTTGGCCTAACACTAACTCCAGAAGAGTGCCTACTTCTGTCTCCCCAGTGCTGGGATTAAAGGTGTGCCACCACACCTGGCTTTGACTTTGGATTTTTAAATGGTGTTAAAACTGTTAAAAACTACTGGACTTTTTGTAGTTGGACTAAGTGCATTTTGCATTATGATAATGGCTATGATCCTGTGGGGCTGCCAGAGAGTGGAAGAGTGATGTTTTGAGTGATGTCTTAGTTGGGGTTTCTATTGCTGTGAAGAGACATCATGACCAAGGGAATTCTTATAAAGGGAAACATTTGATTACGGCTGGCTTACAGTTTTAGAGGTTCATTATTATCATTGTGGGAACTATGGCAACATGCAGGCAGACATGATGCTGGAGGAGCTGAGAGTTCTACATCTTAATATGAAGGTAGCCAAAAGACTGGTTTCTGCAGGCAGCCAGGAGAAGGCTCTGCCTTCCACACTGAGCTGAGCTTGAGCACTAGGAGCCTGCTGAAACAGTGACACAGTTCCTCCAACAAGGCCACACCTCCTAATAGTGCCACTTCCCATGGAGCAAGCACATTCAAACCACCACAGGTGAGAAGTGTCTTGTTGTTAGTCTCTCTTCAGTGATCTCTCAGCCATTTGCTCCAGCTGCCTTCTGAATGCTTCCCCTCCCTACCTTCTGCCATTATAGATCCTCTTTCTGCAACTGTAAGCTAAAATAAACTCTTCCACAAGTTGCTTTTGGTCATGGCTTTTATCACAGTGATGAAAAATAACCAATACATAGCTGTATCCTGGTCCCCAGTGTGGTTTTATTTTAAGTGATAGAGGTGGTCCAAAGTTTGTATGTTTCTTCATGCCACTGATAATAATATCTTACGTTTGTTATTGTTTTTAATGCCTTTCTTTACTTTTCAGCTACAAGGTTTTGGCCAGCCAAGTGTTTACCATGCTGCTACTGTCATCTTCTTTGAATTCTTTGCGTGGGGCCTGTTAACAACTCCAATGTTGACTGTAAGTACTACTGGACCTTTAGACATGGTGTATATGAAATACAAGGCATTGTTGAAATTGTTTCTTTATTTAGATGTTAATGGTTCTTGATTTAAGGACCTAATAAATAGAAAATTCGTTAAGTCCTTTATAATGATGAATATAAAAATGAACATATACCTGGTTTTGATAACTTCTCTATAGCCATTTCTTTAAACCAAATATTGAATTTCCTTTTAAAAAATTGTTTCTTTTAAAAATTTTTATGCAGATTACTCTTTTGTTTGCTTGTATATCTATGTACTTCTTGCATCCCTACTTCTGGAGACATGCCTAGTGTGAGAGATGCGTCACATCCTCTGAAACTGGTATTACAGGTGGTTCTGAGTTACCATGTAGGTATTCAGCTTTTAACCTGGATTCTCTGGAAGTGCAGCAGTGGTCTTAACTGCTGAGCCATCTCTTTAGCCACATATATATTTGACAAGAACTAAGATGTTTGATATATGCATATATCATCGAACAAGTACCAAAGAGGAGATGTAGGATCAGGGGTGGGATTGTACAGATTTTAAGAATTATTTAACACTTAAGGTAAGTTTTAAATGTCTTTGAAATTAAGTTTCAGTTGTCTTCAGTTATTTTTAAAAGTAACTAATAGGCCAGGTGTAGTGGTTTATGCCACTGGGGAGGCAGAGACAGGAAGGTTCTGAGTTTAAGGCTAGCCTGATCTACAGAGTTCTAGGACAGCCAGCACTGTACAAAGAAATCCTGTCTCTCAAAAAATAAACAAAATAAACAACAAACAAAAGCACTAATACTTCTCTTTTCTTAGTCATTATTTTGCCATAGCAGACAGGTTCTTTTCATACATTCAATTTTTGTCTCATAGTTAATACAGAAGTTTAAAGGGTGGACATTAGCTAGTTAGCCTTATAGAAGACCTTAGCATGCATTTTTAGAGAATATTTCATTATTACTATTTTGTTTGTATACATACATGCATACATACATGCATACATAGATACATGTATGTGTTTGTGTAGGCCAGAGAACAGTAAAGAATGAAAGCTGAACAAAGAATACCAAAACTCCAAACTTATAAATTCCAAAATCCTCCAAGTAGTTAACATCTTTGCGACATTCTGACATTTTAACAGGGGCCCTATTTTTATTTTGTTATTCAGTTTTTTCATTCATCTGTTTGAAATTAGCATACAGAGTACTGGCTCGCACCTCATAGCTTGCTCAGCCGGCTTTCTTATAGAATCCAGGATGACCAGCCCAGGGGTAGCATCACCTATAATGTGTTGTGCCCTCCCCGATAAGTCACTAATTGAGAAAATGCCCTACAGACTTACCTACATCCTGATCTTAATGGAGGCATTTTCTCAGTTAAGGCTCCCTCCTCTCTGATGATTCTAGCCTGTGTTAAGTTGAGACAAAACTAGCCAGTACAAAAGTAATGTTTTCCATATATATCTCATTGGATTAATTCTTTTCCCTCAGTACCTTATGTTAATCTCCTTTCTTCCTTCACTAGCCCTTTGGTCTTTGAACTCCTTTAAAACCTCTTTTCCCCCTCATGGTTTCCTTTTGTTTTCATGACCTATATCTTCCTGTGCACATGATTTAATTTTGGGAGATTACATGCTTTTAGGAATTTATCCACATTTTTTCTAGATTTGTTTCAGCTAATTGAAATGTTAACGTTTTAAAGTTCCTGAAAACCCCTTACAGTTCATTATAGTCTATTGCAACATGCCTTTTCATCTCAATTGTTAGTGATTTTGTCTATTCTTTCTTTTCATTCATTTCACTAGAATTTGTCAGTATTATATCTCTTTTCAAAGATCTACTCTTTTTATTATATATATGTGTGTGTGTATATATATAATAAATGTGTGTGTATTATATGTATATATATGTATGTACATATACATACATATATATACAAACCTATATACATATACTACACACACATATATATATTTAATCTTTATTAGTTCCTATCCTAATTTTGTTGTTTCTTGCTGTCTACTGCATTTTAGTTTGCCTTATTTTTTTCTTTTAAATTAATTGTTTTTTTACTTAATCACTTTACATCCTACTCACTGTCCCCCTCGCATTCATTCCCTCCCACAGTCTTTGCCACATCTCCCCACTTCTCTGAGCACGTGGGATCCTCCCTGGGTATCCCCTAACCCTGGCACTTCAAGTCTCTGCTAGGTGCTTCTTCTCCCACAGAGGCCAAACAAGGCATCCCAGCTAGTAGAACACATCTCACTTATAGGCAACAGCTTTTGGGATAGCCCTGTTCCAGTTCAGGACCCACATGAAGGTCAAGATGTACATCTGCTACATATGTTTGAGGAGGCCTAGGTCCAGCCTGTGTATGTTCTTTGCTTGGTGCTTCAGTCTCTGAGGACCTAAAGGGTCCAGGTTAGTTGACTCTGTTGGTCTTCCTGAGGTATGTCATTAGGTTGTGATCTAAATTTTTTTTAACTACTCTCTTTATATCCTGATCAGTACCTTCCTCCCAGTCACCCCCTTCCAACCTGCACTGCATTTTCTCTCCCATTCTCCTTGCATTGGGTGGGGTCTCCCCTGAGTACACTCCCTCCTGGGAATGGCTACTCCAGCTTGCTTCTTAGGTCCATATGCTTGGAAAACTTTTTTCTAGCCCTTTGCTCTGAGGTGATGTCAATCTTTCTTGCTGAGATGTGTTTCTTGTATGCAGAAGAAAGATAGATCCTGTTTTGGCATACATTCTGTTAGCCTGTGTCTTTTTATTGGGGAATTGAGTCCATTGATTTTGAGAGATATTAATGACCAGTGATTGTTACTTCTTTTATTTTATTGGATATTTTATTTATTTACATTTCAGATATCGTCCCTTTTCATCATTTCCCCTCCCTAGAACCCCCTTCCCCATCCCATCCCCACTCTGTCTTTTTGCTTTTAGATAATTTTAATTACATGCAAGTATTAAGGTCAGTTCTAGGTTGAAGGACTAGAAATACAATAGATGCAAATAGTCAAGGAAAAAGCAAGACAATAAACACAAATAGTCAAAGAACAAGCAAGGCAATAAACAAAATTCTGTGAACATTAACGTGATCATTGTTTTTAAGGACTTATCAGGATGACCAAAATATCTGAGCCACTTCCCAGTCCTAGCCCAAAGTCATTTTCATGTCTGAAGTCTACTTCCTTGTTTTAGCCTAAAATTTAGATTCCTGTCTGAAATTACTTCTTTGTTCTAGCTTAAGATTTAGATTCCTGCCTGAAGCCTACTTCCTTGTCCTTGGCCAATGTCATATTCCTGCCAAGCAGCCCATTTCCTTGTCCTTGGCCCATGTCAGATTCCTGCAACCCCAAAAAAGCTTTCCACCTCTTCCCCTTTCTTATTTTATTAAGAAGACTGAGCCTGTCTTAGGTTGTTCTGACAAGGATGCCTTCCTTACCTGTTGTGGACTAATGCTTTATTAAAAGCAATGCATTTCTGTCTTAGGTTGGTAAGGCTCTGTGCAGAATCTGCCAACATGTTGATGTTGTTAAAGACAAGCTTTAACATTATGGACAGGAATAAAAGTATTTCCAGGACAAAAAGGGCTAGCATGATCAAGCTATATATGCTATTCTTGAAGCTTGACCAAAATAGAAATACTGGCCTCAGGCCATGGGTAATTTTATCAGCAGTATCTACCGCATCAACACTCAGCAGAGCAGCATTCTTGAAATTCATAAGCTCACTATATAAAGTTAAAACATCCAGAGAGGTTTTAGAATTATGCCAAATACACTGCAAGTGTCTTTAAACTTTTTCCTAATTATAATGACTACCACTGTAAATTTTAGAACTAACATGAATCCAATGGTATTTGGCATGACACTTGAGATGGCTCCTTATTCTTAAATTCTGAACTTCTTTCCAATAATTTGAATAGGATAAAGAGCATCAATCTGTTCTTCCAAATGCCTATCTAAATACTCTTGTATATTCAGCACATTAGTAACATTTTTTTGCTAAATGATTAACAAAAGTAGCTGTCTTAACTTCTTGTGTCAAAGAAATTGCAGAAGCAGTGGTGCTAGCAAGTAATGTAATTAAAACTGTTATACCAGCAATAATCAAGCCCGCTACCTTCTTGCTTCAGCTTAAAGCCTGACTCATTTCTTCCAGTACTTGCAAGCTATTTTTAGAATACCAAGGTTCTGTGATACTCAGGGCAATAAAACAAAAGCTGGTTGATAGACCTCCGTAACTGACATGCCGGATTTCAAAACATTAACATAATTGGAAGGTGTACAATCAATGCAACTTACATTAAATACTGTAGAAGAAACAAAAGTAATTTTAACTTGTCAATTAAAAGAGCCTTAACACATGTGCTAACACCTGTTTGAAATCCAGATCCTGCCCCAACTTTATTGCTTGCTAACATAACATCACAGAGAACCGCAGCTAACTTCCAAATATGTCTCTGAAAATGTCCAGATCCAGACTTCCAAATGAAGACTGTTATTTCCAATATTGGATTGATTTCTAAACCAGTCCATGATTGATTCTGAATAACTGGTCACATTTAAGAACAATACAAGAGTCATTATAACTTCTCTTTTTGATTCTCTGTTCTACAATGTCTAAAATCTCGAGGCCAAATTTTTTTAATTACTTTCTTTATATCCTGATCAGTACCTGCCTCCCAACCTTCACCCCATTTTCCCTCCCATTCTCCTTGCATTGGGTAGGGTCTCTTTGTTTATTCTCCAAGCATTTGTATAGTTTCTGTGGTTTCTGACACTGTTTTATTGTATTGTGGGCTGGGCCAGATTAGAGCCAGATTAGAGGAGATTATTTTCCTTTTTTATTTCTCATCAATTATGTGAAATATTCTGTGTAGACATTCAGCTTTTCCATAGATATCTTAAATTCAAGTGATTGGTGCTATGATTTAACTTAAATCTTCCAAATTAAAACTCAGAAGAGAATATAATATGTAAAAATGAGAATGATG